CAAGTATCTGAGCTTTGGGGTAGAGGAGGAAATTCGAATAATACTTCCCCTATTTCACATATATCTCAAAGTCAGATAAAATGCAAAGGATGAGTTTTAAGGTATTTCATTGTCAATACAAGGCTGTCGCTGTTTTATTAATCTCCTTTTTTGGGGTTTAATTAGAAGTAGACTGTATGCCTAATTACCTCCCTGCAGGAGTGATTTTCAGTAAGGTCGAACAGGCTGCCTGAAGACAAAAATCAAAGTTTCCCTCATCTACCTAAGCCTGAGCACTTGCATGGCGTGTGCTGGGTTGTTGCCTTTTGTGTTGTTGGGTTTGGTTGGTTTGGAGCTCAGACTCGTTCAGCCTGCGCAGCAGCCCAAGCTTGGGGCGCTGAGGCCTCCCCGCTGGGGCGACGGGAGCACGGGGCCTTTCCAGTTCTCCTGCAGGCAGCAGTTTCCTGTGCAACTGCTTGTCTTGTAGGTGTCCGGTTTCACTTTGAGCACAGCCTGCACCGTTTGAATACTTTGAAAATGCCTGGTGATTTAATGTGGGTTTTTAGTAATTTTGCTTTATATCAGGGGCAGAAGTTACAAGTGCCTAGGAACAAAAGAACAAGGTATTGCGCCCAGAAGGATCTCTGCTGCTTAAAAGTCCAGGTCTGTTTTTCACGTAGGCATTACATGTTTCCCTAGAGCTTGAATAACTGCTGTTACTAAACTTAAAAAAAAAAAACCAAACCAAACCCACCCTTAATTGCTAAGCTCTAATGAAAACCGATCTAGAAAATAAAGTAGAAAGATGAAACTGCCTCCTTTCCATGTAATGATACTTTTTGTATCGAGTATTAAGTAAACCAAGTTACTTGTTTAAGGTGGTTTTGTTTCTGTATTTCATTCTGTATGGATGCCTAGGAGAGGAAGGTTATTTGAAGAAAATGAGAGAATTAAAAATGAAGGCTTACTTGTATGTCCAGGGCTTACTGCAACTAAATTTTTTTCCTTGTGGAAGTGATCCTTTCATCTGCATTTGAAACTGAGAAATGCATCTGTTGCTTGCATAAAGCGCAAGCCAGGTAATGATGTTGGCAGGTGAGGAGGGTGGAGAGTGCAGGGTAACGCAGTAACCTTTTGCAGTTGGAGTCCGAAATTCATATGAAACTATTAGATTGAAGAATGCTGTGGAAAGAAATTATCGTAAGACTAGCAATATGGACAGATATGTGAAGAGTTGATTCAGGAAGGACTTCATACAGGCTAACAAAAAGGTGTTGTAAATCAGGGTTGAGGTGTCTTAGTAACAATCAAGTGCAAAGGCACATTTTCTTCCCAAAATTTTACTGGAGAGGTAATAATCTTCTGTTAGCCCAACCGGTAGAGCTGAAAAAAACAGATTAATATTTGAGTCGTTTCACTTTCATTGTCATAAGGGTTTTTTGACTGCATCATTGCAGCAATGACAAATAACAAAGGATCTTTATAGGACGTCTCTAAAAGGACACTGAAATGTTTTATTAAAATTGAATGGACCCTTTCAATGAAAAATACTTCGAGGGAACTATTTTCCAAATTTGTATTACTTTCTAGAAGTAATCACTCCACTGTGCAGATAACTCTTGCCAGTAGAAGTGAGAAATCACTGTGCTGTATCATTGATAAGGGGGAAGTGGTTTTGGAACACTACTAGCAACTGATGATAACAAATAACAACGTACCAAGTAATGTGAACGTGTTTCTTCAGTAACTAATCTGATGTTTTAGTACAAGTGAGAACTCATGTGGAATTTTAACAAACTTGGAAACCAGAGTACAAAAGGCTAGATAGCCATAATGTTATTTGCCACGCTTAATGCATTTTTGATATGCGAATTACATGCTGTATAAGTTTTTCCGTTTGAAAGCTAAATTCTATAAAAAGAAACCCTATGGCAGTAATCTTCTTTCAGATTGCTGTGCTTGTGTTTAGGATAAGCTTATGTAAACTGAAGGCATATATGCAGGGGTTTTTTGAGATAAGAATCTACATTCCAGCAACTAGTAATTATACAATAAACAATTAACCGTTCTAATAAATACCATGTTTTTATTGAAAGACAGATTCATTTTTGAGGTTGCGGTTGCATTAACTATGACCTGGGATTTGGTATTAAAAAAAAAAAAAAAAGCCATCATATACTTTGAGTATTCTTACAATGCTCAGAATTACTGGAATTTTGAGATTCTAGTAATTAACAAGGTTTTTGAGATAGTCAGTCTAGAGGTTATTTTGTATTCCAGTGTTAATTCCAGTGTCTTCCGTGTTACAAAGTCTTTGTCTAAGTTTCTTTTACAAGTTGCTTTTGTCGTTCAAAGCTTTCTGCCTCATGTCTACAGGTGGTTTAGGCTGTCTTGTAGTCTTTGCGTATGCTGTGCCTTCCCTTTACAAAAAAGGTGTTTATTGCAAGGAAGTGAAGAGGGGGAAATGAATCACAGTCTTCACCAAACAACCAGAATAAATAGAAATTTCAAATTAAAAAAACACAGCAAACTAATTTTTCAAATTTCCCAAATTTTCAGGTGGTTAATTTAAAGTAAAGTTCATCCACTTTTTGCTCATGAGCTTCTACTGTGACAAATGTAAAAGGAGGAATGTTGCAATATTACTTGATGTAATCTGTACTGGTTTTTGTGGGTCTCGCCTCATCTGGAAAGATGTTTGCTGCAAAGTGTAGGTCTGCTTGTCCAACACCACAAAGCCAAACATGCGCCTCAGCCTGAAAATACCTGAAACAGGAGAGGGAAGGTGTTCTGCTGTATGAGCGATATATATAGTATGACTTAATAGTTTGTCTTTTAAACATATGTGAAAGCAAAGTCAGCATCACATACTTTTATGTATGTAAAAGCTTTAAGAAAACGTGAAAGTAAATTTTAAGAAAACTAAGTAAATCCTATTACACGTGGAAAGTTTCCACATCAGCATTTGTGTTGGAGAAGATAAATTCTTTCTAACAGTGCATGCGCTATCATGGTTCTGTTTAGAAACGTATTTTCTCCTGTAGCACACTTTTATTTTTAAAAAATCTGAAGAAAAACATCATGTGTCCTAAGCTTTATGTTTTTTCTAGCTTTGCAAATTTGTTCAAAAAAAACCCTAACCACCTTAACTTTAAAATTTGTCTTGTAAAAATACTTGCATTTAAATTCACTTTATTGCGTGCATAATACTTTATGTGCAGAACACTACTGTACTTTTTTTTGGTCTGGAAATACTAAAATTTTTAATGCTGTAAATCAAAAAATAGCCCACAATGTCATGCAGTCATGCCTGCCAATTGTCCATAGTAATGATGCAAATCATTGGATTTCAGTCAGCATATAATAGAAATCAGTTGCTGATACGTAGTGTTGAACTGCACAAAGATCTATCCTCTGCAACATAAGCTCATTGATGTGCTGACTCTGAATTGAGGTTTGGCTAGTCTCTAAAAGGTAATTATTGCTATGAAAGGTGTTCAAGTGCTAGACAGTGACTGCAACCGAGAAAAGCAGTAGCTGAGGTTCTTTGTTTTTTCCGAGGATTTTAGTTCATTCTGTACATTTGTGCCTTAGTCTGGCACGCTGACTATAGGAGCACTGCTATGCTATAAGCATCTGAAGTGGAAAATATATACCCTGTTAGTACATCTTGGGTATGGAAGTTAATCTAGATATTGTGTCCCTTACAGACAGGCTCTTGCTAGTTCATAATGCTTGCAGGTCACAGTGCTCTTACAGGCTCCTCAGATCTCTGCTGCCTCCTCTTGTCGTCTTAATGAAAACAAAGCAAATCCAGTAGTGTTGCCAATTTTTATATTATTTGGTGACTTCTATAAAAGTTTCCCATGATGTCATGGTTCCTGGCATCAAGTGTTCAATTTTCCCTTATGCAGAGTGACTGCCCACTCATCCCAGGGGGGTGAAAGAGAGTAAGGGAAGTCTCCCTTCCAGCAGTCAGCAGGGACAGTTGTGGGTTTTGCTGTTTGGGTTTTTTTGGCATCTGCTTACAATTGAATTTTGAACTTAAAGCAATCTCACATGTGCACTGGAATAAGTAGCAGCTACCTGTAAACTTAACATCTAAAAGGCAAGAATAGAAGATGATAAATAGTTACTCGGTCATGCTGGCTTTCATTTTTTCCATTTGACAGGTGCTGTACAGAGCTGAATCTGAAAGCTCGAAAGCTTTGGGATTTTGTTTTGCTTCCCCCTTCTTTTTCTGCCTTTTAAGCTGGAAATTGTTAGCACTTTGGACGTGTTTCTAATGTTGCTTGATGTTTGGATCGCATTTCTTTAGTTTCTGCATTATTGCTTTTGCATGGGCTCAGACACTGTATATTTTCAGTTTGCTTCCACTAAGCCTAATTAAACCATCGTGTTAATTTGGATGACTCATTTCAAAATGTTGAATAAAAACTGTGGATCATTAACTTATATTTAATGCTGGGAGGTCTGAAGACTGAGATTTGTCACTTGCTAGTGCTCTCGCTGTCAATTTTGTTAGAACTGTACCCAAACTAACAAAATCTTCAAAAATCTATTGTACCTGCAGCTTCCTAGACATTCCAGCCTTTGTATTAAATGTGGTCCTGTGAGTTTTAATGGCATCAGAAATTGAAGTTAAAGTTGGCATGTATTTGCAGTCATCTGCTTTGCAGTTTTTACATCAGTAAATCATTACAGAAAGTGTCCATCCAGCATTTCTTATAGTTGAACTAGGAATACCTCTATCTTTCTGACCTAGTCCTGTGTGGAATTTTCCATAACCAACTTTGATTTTTGTAAGGGTTTTTCTTTCCCTTTTGCTTGTTAGGTTTTGTAGTACTTTTTTTAACTGTTTAACATTTTCAGTGATGTCCTAGCACAACCACATCTGTCAGACCTTGGGCTTATGTTCTCTTTTATGTGTGTAACCTTTTGGCTTGCGGTTGGGATTTCATAGTTGTACTTTGTTTCTGTAGCTGTATATTTTTGTTAATAATATTTAATTTCTTCCTTAGCTTAAGCTATGGAGGAGGACATTCATCACATTCAGAAACAGATCTTCTTCACAGACAGACATACACAGCTTCTCATCAGCTTCCTGGATACTCTACTACACACCATCCTACTGGTAACTGTCTATATCATGAGATTACATCTTAAATAGCTAAAGAAAACAAAAACCTGCTATGTAATTTAGATTCAAGTTGAATTTTATAATCGGAGGGAGTTTGTCATGCGGGTGGTAGCAAGTGGTGTTAGAAAAGCTGGGTTTGTAGTAGAAGGTTAACAATCAGTTGTTAGCTTTTATCAAAACGTAAGTAGAAAGGAAGATATAAGAGGGGAGTTACGCTCAGTAAGTTATTGCTGGTTCTTAAAGAAACTGCATTTATTCTTTAAAATACAGCTTTTCGGGATTTGGCCTATGCATAAGGTCCAAATGTGAAGTATGCCTCAAAGCCAGCTGTAGAAATCATGCCAATTCTTTTAGATTAAAGCGAATAGCAAAACTAATGCAAATTTGAAGACACTGTTGCTAGTACTTACACGTGCAAACTAAGACACAGTGCTGGGAGAAAGTTAAAGTTTACTTTAAATATATTAACAGGTTAGGAGATGTAACATCTGCATTGGGATCTGTCTGTGATCCTGATAATAACCTGTCTCCATGTCAGGAGAAGACAGGGCATGACCTCCTCATGCTCACTTTGCAACCCAGTTTCTGAGGAAAGATATTTGAGCTGGCTGGAATCTGCAGTCTTTTGACCAGGTCTTCAATCAGGACAGTAGAGGGTCAGAACTGCAGAGAACATTTCAGGGTGCAGACCCTGCAGTCCTGACGTAATCTCAGTTACTCAAAACTGGATCTCTCCAGTGCTTCCCATCAAGCCCTCTGCCATTGAAAAGTGTGAGCAACAGGGAACACACAAAGGTGTTTGTTGAAACAGAAATGCAACAGTGCCAGTCCTACAAAGAAGTCCAAAGTGCTACAAGCTGCCCAAAGGGGGAAAAGGTTGATACAGAGAAGTTAAACCCATTTCAGAAGGAATTATGAATGTTTAAACAGTTCATGTAAAAAGTAGAGCAGTGAATCTTCAGATGAAGGAGAATTTTATTGGTTGACTTAAATACTGGTTTTAAGCATCATATTTGACATACGTTTAGTAATAGATATTAAAATGTATACTCAAGTTCCAGTTTACAGTTGTAACACTGTAAAGCAGTTAAACTGAAAAATGAACGTGCATTAAGAATATTGCTAATGTTTCATAGGTTATTTTTAGTGAATTATGAATGTATGTCCTTGTTATTTGATTAAGCTCATCAGGTCATCTGAATTGTCTGTTTTTCCACCCTCATCTAGGTCTTTCAGGAATATTTGATACCAGTATGCACAGTGCTGGAAGTAACACTAAGGAAACTTCTTCAGTTATGAATTTTCTCTCTGCTATTGAGTCTCGTACTGCTCAGGCAGTCTCTTCAGGATCTACCCTTTTACCACAATTCAGGGCTCCTTCCTGGCAGACAGGTGAAACTTCCTCTTGAAATAAAATTTTGTCATGATTATATTGAATGTTTGGGAGAATTTGAAACAAAAATATCCTAACTAGCTGAAAAGGCTACATGTCTTCTATCTCTTGTCCATCTCTGTATTTAAAAAATCTCAAAATAAATGAAAATATATTAGCAGAAAAATTATATTAGAAGAATTGTATGATCAGAAGTTCTAATTGGTTAAAAGGAATTTAGATGTCTAGGATACTGTTTTTTCTAATGAGTCAAATTTATTCTCCAGCTTTGGAATGAGTCTCACTAACACCATAAGCATATGTATACCCTAGCAGATCTTTCATTCTCAAACTCTATTCCCTGTCATAGTTCTTCGTCTGTGATATTACTACTAAAAGTCTGTGGATAACTTCATCCCCTTTGTACACAGAAGTAATGAGCAAGGTGTTCTTAAAAAGAGGGTGTGAGGTGCATGTTGCATAGAAATAAGTGATTTAATTTACAAATAAACAAATGTGCTGTCTTATTCGGAAGACTGACTGCTTCCTATAAACCTCCCCCAACTGTCAAGCTGCCTGTACAGAGCAGGAAACTTTGCATATTTTGAGCTTGCTATAGACAGCCACACCAGGATAAGTGTTGCTGCTGCATCTGTGGGTAGCTTCAAGTTATGCTTAATCTTATGTAGTGATTATGCAGCTGTGCAGTGAATCAGATCTATTCACTGATCTGACAGAAAACGTTTGGGTGCATGTTTTTCCTTTGGTGGGATTTTTTTTTCACCTTATCAGCAAGCTGATCAGTGTCTCGGTGCAGCTGTATGATCGCTGGTTCTGATTTAGGGGAGGAGGCATAAGGTAGGAAGAGGGAAGAGTTGAACGATCCTTTCGTTGACAGTTTGCACTTGGTGTGTTAAGTGTAATGTGCAGCTGCATTCTGTGAAGAGCTACTCAAAAAGTTGAGAAGAGAGAATGTGGCTTTTTATTCACCATGGACAAAAGCAGATATGTGGGAGCACAGATAAAGATGCACACTGTTAGTCTGTCAAAAAGTCTTAATATAAATCAGCAGTGTTTAGAGTTGTGATGACCCATCCTCACATCAGATTGTCAGCTGGGAAGAAATCTTTTTTTCTCTTCGTCCTAGCATTTTCTCCATTGCAGCCTGCCTAACAGTGAATTGTGAAGAATGGGGAGACATGCTGTGGGTCGGGTTTGATGTTGGTACCAGTGATTGAGAGACTTCTCAGTACTCATTACTAAGAACTCATCAGTAAGCCCATTTTCAATATTACCGGTTCTCTGAGCTTTCTGTTGTCCTTTAATACTTTTGCTGCTTTTCTGTGTCCCTCAATCTTCCCAAGTGTCTTCTGAGAGCTTTGTCTTCTACAAACTTTTTTGATGCTACAAACTTTTTTGATGAGGGAAAACAAGTCCTCTTTGCTCTTCAAGGTGACCTTTCTCTAGAAGGGTTTTTTACTTTGGGTTTTCCTCCAAACCCTGCAACTGCTGATTTTGGGGGGAAAAGAGGAAGAGTGTGTTTGTTACATTGTCCTAACAAGTCTTTCTTCAATATGTGGAATGTGTTATAAATGTTCCGATTTCTTAGGGTAGTGGGGGTATTTGTGCACACAACTTACTATCTTTGTCATACCTTTTGTCTGCTCCTCTACAAAAGTAAAATATAAAAACCAGCAATTCTACCCTAATAGCGCTTCTGTGACTGGCTCTTGTCTGGTTTAAGAAGTTACCTGCATAATAGGAAGGGCTTTGATTTATGGAAGAGAAGGGAAAAATACAGGTTAGATGAGAAATGAATATCTGCAGTTAAAATAGTTATAAATTCTTCTCCGATGCTTCTGGATGTCCCTACCTTTGTGTTAGTGGTAGGGATCAGTAAAAGAGAACCCAGTTGTACATGATGTTGCAGTTTTTTAGAATATGAAAAAAAAGGCATTAAAACACTGCTTATGCTTTCTTACTCAGAATGATCATATTGTTTACTCATGAAAAATGCCTTGGCATTCCTTCAGTATCACATCTCTTCATATCAGTTTGTCTTGAATTGAAAGGGAGAAACAAAGACTTTCTTTGCAGCTTCATCTGAAACTTCCAAGGCAATTGTGTGATTAAGTTGCAGTCCGTTTAAGAGGACTTAATATATTTTAAAACTAAATTTATTTTTTTTTACTGAAGTATTTGTCTCAAAACAAGCTTTATTTACTGAAAGTTGGTTTATTTATTCTTGAATGATCCAAAGCTAAAAGCTGTTTTAAGTATCCAGGAAGAGCTGAAAAAGGTCAAATTTTAGCAGTGATTTTAATTTTTTCTGATTTGCATACCCTTGTAAATTTCCCAGTGGAAATTGATTAGTTTACAGATTCCTTTACAAGAAGTTTAAGCCTCTCTGAAAATAAACTTGTCTTCTCACTTTCATTCATAGACTTTGGAAATAGTACACAAACTTCATCTATAAGCTACAGGGTGAAATGCACTGAACGATATGGATCGCTGCTGTAAGCCCCAAAGCTTGCAAGGGAATTTCACACTCCTATTTCAGTTGGAGTAGTATATTCTGTTGAGAAATCTTGTTTAGGTCAGGATGTCATACGAATGTCCGGATGCAAATAAGTAATATTATACCTTTCAGTTGGATAGTTGCTATTGCACTGTGCAGATAGTTGCTGTCTGTGGATATTTTGGACTCTCGCTTTTTAGAAAGCATACAAATCATTTATTCTTTGTGTTGAAAGTCAAAGCCCTGCTTCAAGAAATGTATATTGCAAAGTGTATAGGCCATTAGCTATATCATTGTGAGCTGTAAAATGTTTCACATAAAGTGAGTTATAAAAATATTGGTGAGGGCAAATGCAGGAGATGGGATTGCTTCTTTGACTGTATAAGTATTACAGTTGGTAAGGTGTAATTTTGCCTTTTTACTATATTGTAAAGGTGTCCAGGATTTTTGATCAGTTGTCTTCTACTCTGAACTTACTTTTAAACTGAAATGAAAACTAATAAAGATCCTTCAGTTTCAAAACAGAATTAATCTTGTACAATTTTTTTTTTGTCCACAATTTGGATCTTAAGGATATGAGTTTTTTTTCTCTTGGCAATTCACTGTAGGTATAGAATTTGGAATTCTTAAAAACCCCTGCACTTCCAGTTCGAAAATTACCTGCAATAAGTGCCTCCCTCTTGTTGAAAAGGGTGGTGCTTCTAAAGAAGGTTATATTTGTAAATGCTGTAAGATCTTACAATTAAGTGAGTTACAGAAATGTGGAGTGTTGTAACTTGTAAAGCTCCCTTATGTTTTTTTTTTCCTTCTTGTTTTGTTTTTGTTTTTTCCAGGTATGCATTCCTCAACAGCCACAGAACTCTTTGTTACTGGAGCTTTGCCAACCTCTGGAACATTTCCACCAACATCTGCTTTATCAGCATATCAGCATCCCAACACTTTCAGCAGTAGAAACTTTGCTACTACTCCTTCTCTTACTCTTCAAGATACTACTTTCAGTGCTACATCAAATGGTCTCTTAACTACCCATGATCCTTTATTACAGATTAAAACATCGCAAGGCACTGTTCCAACTGCTTTGACGTTTGAACGCCTAGGCAGTTCTGTTTTAAGTACCAGTGTACCACCTCAGTCATCAACATACCGTTCTGCTCAAGAATCTGCACCCCATCTTTTGCAACCTCAATTTAGTTTGTTGCCTTCAACCCTTGGAGGAGCTCAGCAGGTTTCTCAGGCGTATAGCACATCTGTCTTTACTGGTTCCACTGCTTCTATTGATAGAGCACTTCAGCGAGAATGTAGTGTTATTAAACACCACCAGCGGCCTTCAAGTACTCAGTCTGTTCAGGCTCAACTGACTGTTTCACAGCATTCCTTACAAACCTATTTAACGAGTACAAGTGGAGTTAATTTTCAGGATACATCCAGGCACTCAGCATTATCCTGCAGTCCAGTTGGAGATGTTACTCAGGTGAGCAATGGAGGACCACAGCAGAAGACTTCTCAAGTCACAGTGGAACTTGCTCAGTCATATACATCTGCAATTCCATCACCTGGTTTTCCATCTGCTTCCACAGCAAAAGCGAAAAACTGTTCCACGAAGCAGCCTCCAAGGTCAACGAAGACCCCCAAACCTCAAAGTGTAGCTCCCACTGTGCAGACACAAAGCTATGCCAAAACTGCACAAAACCAGAGTTCTGTCATTACAGGCCAAGCACAGATCTATTCTACAGCACAACTCCCAAGCCTCTTGTCGGTCAGCCAGTCCCAAAACTATGTTTCATCCCAGGCTCAGAATGTGCCACCTGTCAGTCACTCACAGGATTTCTCATCCAGCAAGGTTGAGAAGCTGCCCTCACTGTATAAAACATTGACTTTTTCTGGGCAATCGCAAACTATTACTTCCGATAGTCAAACTCTAAGTTACTCCTCAGAGGAACAGGTATTGACTTCCGTTCCAAATGAGAACTACTCTGGGCAAACGAGGGAACTTTCTTCAGTCAGCCAATCTCAGAGCTACTCTTCTAGTCACTCTCAGGGTTTATCTCCCGTTAGCCAATCCCAAGTTAGTTTTTCATCTCAATCACAAGTTTTATCAGCTGTTAGTCCCTCAGAAAGCTATTCTTCAGGGCAGTCTTTAACATTAACATCCCCTTCTCTTTCCTTTAATGCCTCTCCTCGGATACAAACTCTTCCAGCCTCGAGTCCTAGTCAAAGCTATATTTCTTTACATTCTTCTCAGAACTCTCAGTCACAAGAGTCCTCCTCTCCACAGTCTCAAAAGTTTTTACCATCTGTTCAGTCTCCTCCTTTTGCATCCCCAGCTCATTCACAGACACTGCAGAGCAACAGGGCTTCCTCGGAAACAAAGTCATATGTTAAAAGGAAGTCTGACTCTAATTTGTATGCCTCATCAAAACAAGAGGAGGAATTATCAATGCAGGATATGCAGGCATTGCAACAGCAAGCTTCTCTTGAGTCTTCCACTCAAAGGCTAACCGATGAGGAAATCAATGCTCAGGATGCATCCTATAGGGTCTCAAAAGCAGACGACAGATACTCTCAAAGTGTAATCAGAAGTAACTCTCGTCTTGAAGATCAAGTTGTTGGACTTACTCTTCAAGGAACAAAAAAAGATGAAAGAATGGTCAATTCTGTGGAACAGCTTTCCCAACATATTGGCCATATCACTAGCCTAAGCCATGATATAAAAAAGACAGCTAATTTAATGCAAACGACACAAGTAACTGTGAGTGCTAAAGAACTAAACCAGCAACATTCTCTTATGCATAAGGTACATGAAAGTAAAGCTCAAGAACCGCAAGGCCAAGTCATTAGTACACCATCACAGGTTCAACTTCATACTTTAAGACATGGTCATCAGCTGTGTTTGCCCAGTGCACAGGTACTTCTGGAGTCAGCCTGTGACTTGCAGATTCTTCATCAGTCAATATTGCAGTCGGGTTTAGGACAGGCAAAGGCATCACCGCAGGTGCAAAGGATACAGAGTCCTCAACAGGTGACACATCCATTCCTTCAGATGGATGGTCATATTATTCAAAGTAATGGGGGTCATTCTCAGCAACAGCTTCATGCTCAGAATTCAGAAGTAATGAAAATGGACATTTCTGAGCCCTCAAAACCACTACAACAACATTTGACAACAAAAGATCATTTTACTCAGACAAATCAACACGATTCAAAAAATCAGTTTGTTTCTCTAAGTTCAATATGTTTCCCAGAATCTATACTTCTCAGTGATGAGAGGAATATATTATCCAATGTAGATGACATCTTAGCAGCAACGGCAGCAGCCTGTGGAGTGACACCATCTGACTTTGCCAAATCAGCTTCTAATGAAGAGGAAATCCAGTCTGTTGAAAATAGGGAGGAGTCTAAAACACAGTTCCGATCAATGGATATAAGACATGTGTCTTCTGGTTTCAGTGTCTCACCTGCTGTAGTTGGAAAGCCAGCAAGCATAAGTAATATTTCTCTGAATGGAGGCCAAATTACTATAAATCTGACACCAGTGTCAACAATACATACGAAACCTGTGAACCTTGATCAACACCACATTGAAAGTTCTGATCAAAATGTACCAACAAGAATAACCTCTCCCACCCTTGGCCCTGGTCAAGAGGAGCAAGAACAAGGGTCTGTTCCAGTTAAGAAACAATCTAGCATCAGTCAGGAATCTGAAGAAGATAATGATGCTTCTGCTGATGGTACGCTGAACACAAGAGAGACAGAATTTGTTTCAAGTGGTAGGAGTCTAAGTGAAGAAAGTGCTGCTTCAGAGAATGATTTTAATATGGGTGGTGATGATGGTACGGTAGCAGGTAACCAGTCGAAGAGTCCATTGCAGCCACTATCTGTGCCCCAAAGTGGAGATGGAATCGTTAATAGAACTGAAGAAGAATGCCAAGACTTAACTCAAGGGAACCTTCAGAAGAAAAAAAGCAAAGGAAAAAGCCAAAACAAAAATGCTGCAGAAGATGACAGTGCAATTCAGAAACAGGTAAAAAGAAGTGGACAGTGTAAACGTCAAAATTCAAGAGGAAGTGACTCATGTTTGACATACTCTTCTCCTGTTTCTGAAAGTTGTTATGATACTTACCAGCATCAGGAAAGAATGAGGCAAAAAATTAAAGAAGTTGAAGAAAAACAGCCTGAAGTCAAAACAGGATTTATCGCATCTTTTTTAGACTTTCTAAAGTCTGGGCCTAGGCAACAGTTTTCGGCTCCAGCTGTACGAATGCCAAACAGGACTAGGCGACCGGTTACCCAAATAGTTCGTGCCCCTTGCCTACAGTCCTCTGCAAAGCCTCAGCCGGCAGCAACAGCACCTGTAGCTGCTGAGGTTAGTGGAGAAAGTCCAACCAAAAAAGCTGATGAAGAACTTAAGAAAAATTTAGAAACATTGCCTTCGTTTTCTTCTGATGAAGATGATTCTGTGGGGGGTAACCACGATCTTCAGAAGAGCATCTCTACTGCATTGTCAGCCCTGGATGATACATCTGACAGAAAGAACAAATCAGGTAAAACAGTTACTACAAGTGCATGTGTGGAAGGAGATTTCTGTAGCTGATGGGGAAAAAATAAAGAATAATTTTAGCTATCTTCAGTTCAGGTAAAGGTTTTGATTGGGTTTGGTTTTAATCACAGCTGTAATTAAGAGTTCTGTTCAAAAGGTGTTGAATTACGTTAGTGTTCTCCATGATTAGAAAATATGTAGGTAAACTTCTTCATGCTAAGTAGGATTCTTCTAATGCCAAAAAGTTATTTTAGCCCAGAATTGGAATAATGTGTCTGTTCTCTTCTCTGGTTTAAAATGTTAATTAGGGTTTTCATCTGGAAGTCTCAACAAACCATCATGTCAGAGGTTTTAAATGTGTATTAAAAAAATATAGCAAAAGAACATCATAATTGTCATCAGCAGAGGTTAAGTTCTGCGTAGGTAGAGTTAAACATGCACTTCCCAATGATAAGAGTTGCACAGAATATGTTTATGAAAACAACGTTTGTACTTGTAAACTGAGCACTGGTTTGGGTACTCTTGTCCAAGATGGGAGTCATTTGACTTTGATTTCAGCCGTATTAATCAGGAGTGTTGTAGCTTCATTGCTAACAAAAGAACAAAATCTGGGAAGGGTTGTACTGGGCAGGGAGGGGCAAGCAGCAACCACTGATCACAGTAGTAGTTTTCCACGTGCTCTTCAGTTTCACTTGTATTACATCTATGCAGAATGTTACGTTGTCAGTGTTCATGATTTTTAACTGATGCGACTTTGTCCTGAAGTGTTTTCAACATTAAGCATATTTTTGCCTAGCTAGGCCTTTTCAGTGAAGTTTTTCTCTGGTAAGCAATTGGACTATCTAGCCAATCACATAACTGTACTAATTCCAGAGGAATACCGTTACCTTCCAAAATAATCACAGGGAGAAAATGAAGCATTTCTTAAACTCTTCTCAGGACCCACGACCCATAGGCTGGTTCTTAATAAAATAGAAATATTTTTTCTTAATAAAATAGAAGTAATTTTTTCTCAGATTAAAGGAGAGGGGGAGATTTTTTTTTCTCTATGGGTGACATGATTTGTGAAAAATACGTGGCACAATTGAATTTAAATTGTAAGAATCAGACCTAAAATACTGGAAAAAGATTGTCAAATACATGATATACTAAACAATACTTCATGTTAATTATTGTGTTTTCTGTTTTCTTCTGTGGATATTTCCATTGAATTATGCTAAGTTCATGCATTTTGGGAAGTCTGTTACAGAAGATGAAGTTCCTCATGTGTCTTTCAGTTCAATATGTATTTTGAACAAGAAAGGAGTGATGTTTTTTCCCAGAAAGCCAAAATGTGGAGAGTGCCATGGTGTGAGCCTCTTGCTGAAGCTTGTTAATTTTAATAAGCCGTGTTCTGTGTACAGCTTCCTAATGAAATATTTCAAAGGTTTTTTGTTGAGTGGGTATTTCCGTTAGTGTTATATTTGCAGTGATTTATTTTACGATATTATTGTATCTTCTTTATATTTATTATTCATAAGGATGTAATACTTGTATCACCAATTTCTTGAATTCACATTCCTGTTTTGTTGTATACAAGACTGTTTGTACGTTATATAAGATTCTTAATACTGATTTCTTGTTGGTGTTCTGCAGATTTTCTAGTAATTCCTTCTTTGTCTGTTTTTGCACATAAGTGGAAAGACAAATATTAAAACATCATCTTTTGTTGGTAGTATTAATTAGCATATGTACATTTAAATATATGTGGGGAACTAATCTTGTGTCTAATTAAAGCTGTCATAGCTTTCACTGAACAAAGAACTACAACATATTTGCAATAATGTGATATGATATATCCAGAAGAATGTATTTCATGGCTTAGCAATTTTACTTAATTGATTTAATGAATCTTCACTTATCTGGTATATAGCTTTTGTATTGAGACATTAATCTGATATTTAAATAATTTGTTTTGAACCACTTTTATTAAGATATGTCACGTTTTTCTGTTTTTTCAAGTGAAAAAAATCAACAACTAACAGTGATTGTAACCATTTTACGGTTTTGTTACCTTTGCAAGTTTGAAGCCAGTTTCCTAAGTGGTATTATTAATTATGCTATAGCTAATATAATTTGATTTCTTTTAGATCAGCAAGTCTGTGTTAAAACTAATATGTATAAAAAAGTACGAAGTAATATCTAAAAAGGATTCTACTTTTTTCAGGTGGGAAAGAATAATAATTTTGAAAAGTGGGAGTTCCCTTTGGCTCTGGGGCATAGAGGAGAAGAGTGTTCCTTCCCTTCTCTGTTTTGTATCATGAGTTCTTATTGCTCACCTCTGTTAATATTAAAAATTATTAGGATATTGCCGAAGTTTTCATCTGGAACTTCCAGTTACATTATCACAAGATAAAAATTATAAATGTCCAAAAGTCATAAGCAAATGTTTTCATATTTCATGTGTATTTCTCTTTCCTTAATCCAATTTAAAAGGATGTGACTTATCAGCAGATTGGAAACAAGATTGAGTGTTGTAACCTTTACTGCTGTATTTGCTTATTCACACAAAGTATAGCAGTATTTCCTGTTGGTCGTGTCTGTAACTATGGAATTGTTTTCTAAAGCATTCATCTTTGTTATTTCTAGATGTCAATAGAAGCAGCAGTTAAATACAAACAGAGGTATACTAGCTACAGTGCTTTCGTTAAGGTTGAGTTGTGCCCTAGATAATGCTTCTATTTTAACTCTTGGAACAGGTGTTTTTCCTAGAATAGTTGTTTTTAATATGTATTGTAACAGAAAAGAAGAAAAATAAATCTAGATCCCATTTTATGTTGCTAATGCTTGATAATTTGTTTAAGTAAAATTTCCATTTTTTTTCTTCAGAAGTTGAAAAAGCAGCAGTTGTTACTGCTGCAGCTGCCACCACTACTGCTGTAATAAAGCAGGAATCTCCACAGACAACTGTTCCTATAGTCAATGCACAGGAGAAAATGAATCCAGCTGACCCCTTAAAAGTAGCTCAACAGGATGCTGTGACTTCAGACCAATTGGCAAAAATACAGGCAACTGTTGCAATAGAAGGATGTACTGATGAGGAGAATACAGACAGTGGAGGAGAGGGCATGTACAGAGAACGTGATGAATTTGTAGTGAAGATTGAAGATATAGAGACATTAAAGGTAATCTGAATACTTGCTCTGTGTGTGTGAAAAAATCACAGTGTCTTCCATGTGAATTTAGGCTTAACAAACTAAACAAAGGGGAAAGGCTAGAGATCAGTTTTTTGTTTCTATTCAAATATTCCCTTGCTGCTGCCAAAATGCCTTAAACATGTCTTTCTAGTGCAGGTTATGAATATGTTTTGTATGTACATGGCCCCTTTATACTACACACATAATAAAGTAAATCTATATGCTGGTAACCACTGTTAGAATTTGGAATTACCTTTTTTTAATACTAAAAAGCGTAATTTTTTCACAGGCTGTTGACTACATTTTTTTTTTTTTAATTTAAGATAGTAGGCTTTCAAGCATAAGGTGTTGAAGAAATGACTTTCGGACTTTTGCAAAAGGTCTTGCATTTTACTTTTTTTTCTTTTTTGGAAGAGGTTCTGTTTGATATTCCAACAAGAAATGCCTTCCATAAGCAACCAGTACAGCTCTTCACATGAGTTTATGGGAATGCTCCTTGTTGTCTTTGATTTCTTGGTTTGTTTTTTTTTTTTGTTGCTGCTTCATTTTAAATTCTTCTGCATGTTTACCCTTCCTTTTGTTGCTATCGTAGCCAGCAATATTCTTACCATTAATTTCTAACACTTTTGATTACTTGTCTATGTTTTCATCCTCTTGAGCTTAAGTTTCAAAGGAATTCATGTAGCTCTGTCACATAAGACAAGTGGTACCAGTTTTAAAATATTCTCTTGTCACTTACAAAACTGATTAAGTTTTGTTACGAGGTATTTTAAGTTTTAAGCTCTGTGGTGTTTATTTCTTTAGTTATTTAAACAGTCATGAAGAAGGAACCAATACTTGATTATATGTTTTCCAAAAAGAGAGTTTTTGAGTTAGTACTTTGTGTGTAGGACTTAGCTCTAATGAGAATTCTCTATAATAATTACAAATTTGGTTTTTAACATAATTTATTTCTCAAACTACGTGAAGGAGAAAATCGGCTCAAACTCATTTTTTTACCATTAAGTTGAACTGAAAGCGTAAACTCTGGTTCACTAATTCTTACTGAACTATATCTTTCCACATTAGTGCAAGCATCATGCTGTAATGTACATGGGCTTCTGCTACGGAATCTCTAGAGATCTACAAGCTTTTTGCTATTTGTTGTGATTCTTGCATTATTGTTCTAAAAAATATTTCATGGAGCAAAAGAATAAAGAATTGGAAAAATATTACATTGTTTTAAAAAATAAAGTTCTGTGGCTCAGTTGCATGGTACACAAGTTAAGACATCACACCATAGGCAAAGCCGGTTGGCACAACTGTGGAAGTAAAATTTGTACTTTGCGTTATACTTACTGTAATTCACATTATAGTGTCTTGATGCAAATGGCACATAATGACTAAGGAATTTGGAATGACTTATTTCCGTTTTATCTCTGGGTAACTTGCTCAAAAAATATAATGCACAAACTCACTTCTGGGAGAAAAGTACAACTGCTGTTTATAGTAAATAATTTTATGTTCTTACAGGTTGCTTTACAAACAGGAAAAGAGCCTCCAGCTATTTGGAAAGTACAGAAGGCTTTATTGCAAAAGTTTGTTCCTGAAGTGCGAGATGGACAGAGAGAGTTTGCTGCTACTAACAGTGTGAGTCTTAAAAATTCCTTATGAAGCCTCATGGGAACTGATGTCCTTAATGGAAGTCTAGGGAACAAAATAAAATGTGATTCTGACATACATTCTTAGCAAGCATCCTTGGTGGGAAAAAAAAGGGTTCTTGGTTTCCTCCTACTCTAAAATTCTTTGTAAATATATTAATGGGCAGATTCTTTGCTTTCCAACATGGGTTCTTTGGTATCATTCAGGCTGCATAAAGGAACAAGTTTTCACAACCAGCATAAAGTCAGTGGAAGCACGCTTGTGAAGCAACAGCATTCTGCAATGGGAGGGATACAGATAGGATACAATTTCAACAGGCAGTCCTTGGCCAGGCAGATAATACTTTTGGGATAACACATGGGGAGGATTAAATAAAGAGAGAAAATGAAGCCCCAAGTACTTCTTGCCTTATTTTCTTACTTTAAATATTATTTGGAAATCCATTGGAGAAATTCTGTTAAATTGCATATGCTGTAGGATGGCTCATTTTTGTATGTAAACAAGTTGGTTGTAAACGGACTTTTTTACTTTAGTTACTTCAGTTTTTAATTGTTAAACTGAATAATTTTACTTGACAGAAACACTTGTGTATTAATTTTTATTTTTTTTTTAGTATCTTGGTTATTTCGGGGATGCAAAAACAAAATACAAACGAGTGTATGTGAAGTTCATTGAAAATGCAAACAAAAAGGAATATGTCAGAGTATGTTCAAAAAAACCACGAAGCAAGCCTGTACAGTCAGCAAGGTACTTTCTTTCAATTTGTTTTTCATTTTGCCATGTTGTTTTCATATCAAGAATGTACCTATTTTAATAAACAAGACTTATAACTCAGGATTTTGTTGATTCAGATTTAAGTTGGAAACTGAGAACTGTGTGTTCTTGTTTTAAGAAATAAGATATAAATTACTGCCATATCAAGACTTCGCTACATTGAATCTGCAGATTGCAATAATTGTCCGGTTTAGAGGTGTTAGGGCTCCACCCACTATTTCTTTCTGTCATCTTTTGCCCTGTTACTCAACATAAGGATAGAATCCTACAAGTGTAACAATTTGAATGTTGTTTTCTCCTATCCTGTGGACTTTGCAAGTTAGGTATGTTTTCCCGGATTGCTTTCATGGCCATCCTGTCCCGGTATACTAGAAATACCATGCTTTCTTCTCGATCCTGGAAAGTTCATTTGAAAACTGAAGTTCATTGTTGCAAGGATGCTTTTCTTTCTTTTGTGTGTCCTTGAACACTGAGGGTATTTTACTTCTTTTATTGCACCTGCTCTACCGCCCTCACCCCGCCCCAGAAAGCCTTATCTCTTTGAGTCATCCCATGTAACCTCTACCCATGCCTTAAAATCAGTAATTCTAGCAGTATTGCTTTTAAACCTCCACCAAGGATAAATAAACCCCCAAAAAATCTGTGACTCTGGAGAATCATGTAAAGAATGCAGGGCAAATATAGTGTGGTTTTGTTTATTCTAGTAAATACACTACTGGTCCTGCAAAATGTTATGACCATAAGTGTCTCTCACATAGGTACTTCAGCTATCTCTGAGATTTCCTCTGTCACCTTCCTTCTGACAAGGTGTTCTCACTTGAAGTCATTCACTTGCTGAGGGTTTTGCTGTTGCATTTTGTGTTGACCTTTGTGCTTTTGGAAAAGATTGCAGAGTCTGTGTTGTACAAACTCTGTCACACTTCAATGCTTAGCTTATTTTCTCACTTCAGATGATATCTGAAGCTTTTCTCCCTATGGCTTTTCAGTAATTACAATTCAATGCAGATATGTTTCCTTTATCAGATGTTAGTGAAGTAATAAAAAGAATTGCAGTGCTCTTTTTTCAGTAGATGACGGGGGGTTTAAGTCCAGTTTGTTCTCAAAGAAAGCAATGCCATCAGATAATCAATTTTGTAAAATTATCATGATCTAATTAAAACTACCTAGGATTTTGATGCTGTTTGTTTCTTGGGCTACAGAAGACTGTTCCAGAACCTGTTCCTCCAGTACTCTGAAACAATCTTGTCTTTTAGCCAAAACATGATCATGATTAGCTTGTATCCATATATTCTCCTCTTAATACTGTTTTTGGCTTTTATTTCTGTCTGTCCCTGGTGTTTCTACTGCATGATGTATTTCTGGAGAGCAGTCAGGTTCCACCTCTGTCTTCGTTTCACTAAGCTGGATTAACCAAAGTCTTTCAACTTCCTTGTCTAAGGCAGGCTTTCCATTCCTCTAATCATCCTAGTATCCTACATCCTTTTCAGTTTGACATCTTCATCTCTGACAGATGACTAGAATTATTCACAATATTCCAGAAGATACTAACAATGTTTTGTCTGTACATGTCACAGCTTTACCATTTGAACTTTCCCCTTTGGACAAAAATCTTGCCTGGCGCTTCCCAGGATTGTGTTCCCCAACACGTTCTCAAAGCTGCATTGCATTATTAGTCCTAAAATAAATAAATTTGTATTTATGATACTAAGTTTCCTGTTTGCTTTCCTGTTTTGGGTGGTGGGAAGAGAAAGGAGAGGAATTGTCTGGTTTTGTATTCCAAGATCCTGCATTTCCTGCATTTTTACCTGGTTGATAATCTCCCATCTTTGTATCGATACAATATCGCAAATTCCCTTTGTCAGCGAATCTTATTGATTACTAGTATTTGTTCAAGTCTGTCAAGTCTGAATTTTTCATTACATAATCAATTTCAATATTAGCTCCAATCTCCTATAGTTCAGAAATTCTACTAACATTGGGCGATTTAAACTTTCTATGCCTGTCTGCCTAGTTATAAAACTGGAATACTATTTAATCACAGGTAGTTGAGAATAATTGTTAAGCATTGTATAAAAATACAGTGGTATAGTGTGTATGACCTAATTCCTAGTTACATGTGACAATGAAGTAAGTATATATAATCCCTGGAGAATATATTCTAGTTAAATAAGGCTATAGCTATTTTATTAATGGCAAAACTTGTGTGGTAATTATTTTCATAAAGAATGTCTTCATAATATTACAGGACTATTCATTGCAAACCTAGTAGTAGCAACAACAAAACCCCTGATCCACCAACACCAAAACCAACAGCAACAAAAGTCTCTTCTGTGAAACCCAAAGCTAAACAGCCAAAGGTGAAGGCTGAACCACCACCAAAGAAAAGGAAAAAGTGGAAAGAAGAGTTTTCATCTTCGCAGTCTGATTCTTCACCTGAGGCCCAGAGCGATGAGGATGGTGAGCGAGATGATATTGTTAGCATCTAGGTCTATTTGAACTTAACTGAAAATATTATAAAAATATGTTGTTCGATCTTACAAATTTTTCTTCACTAGCCTCAGGAAAACAAAATTAAATCTGACAGTACCATGCAAAATTGCTTTCTTAAAACTTTTTACTTGTTTGAGCAACTAAGGTTACCTCCAATGTAGTTTATTAATTATGTAAATATATTTTTACTACTTGCTTTCTAAGACAGGTACAATTGCAGAAGAAGGAGCTGATTTGATTTTCAGACACATCTCAAGAATCAAATTCTTCATTAATTTTCCATTGCAACCCCATGTCATGTCTAGAATAACATTCCTGCAATGCCTGTCTGTATGCAGATGTGGGCAGAATTCAGATGTTACTGGTTTGGGTTTTGGGGTTTTGTTGGTTTGTTGTTTTTTTTTTTAAAACCCCAGGAGAAGAAGCAGTTGACTTTTTGGCTGCTTCATTGCTTGTCTAAATGCCAGCTGTTCAAATGCAGCCTGCTGAGCAGATTTGTTGTTAAGACTTTCATGGTGTCTTGGAACATTGAGGTACAGTGTTTGCAGTAATTCTCCAGAACAGAGAGGAATTTTTGAAGTGTATTATGTTTATAGAGATTACTTGTGGTAACAGATGTACAACGGTTTTTGCAGTTTTTTATTTATGTCTTGTATGTTTGAACTTAAGCTGTGTTGTACCCATGCTTTGTATTGCAGTATTTCCAAAGCAGGCTGGCCTCGGTGACTTTAACTCTAGGTAAGCTAGGGTTGGTGGACTGGAACAGCGCCTCTGCTGAAGGCAGCACCTTTAAAATAACATTTTTTTCAAGCAAACTTACTCAAACAGCCATTATTATCTACAACTGCCCATATTTAAAATTTCAGGTAACCTGGTGATGATAGTAACCCATAGGAATGTGAATATCTGAGAAAGTTTAGCAGCCTTGCTGGCTAAATTACTGCGAGATACTGGTATTGTAGGTGGAACCTATAGAAAGCTCCAGAATGCTTACTGATAGTTATGACTACTTCATGTGCATATTTAAAATAGCTGTCTATGAAAAAATAAAAGCTTCCTCAGAATAAGCACAAATATGCCTACATTGCTTCACTGATCAAAATTGTTTTTTGTGCGTTGGACAATTAGGTGGGGTTAACTTTGGTGCTATGCAGGCTCCTGAGTGACGTTAGTGCTTTTGAATGTTTTTCTGCTGGACTACTTTGGGTTTTGTGGTTTTAGAAGGTACTTGCATTGACACGAACCTGCACTTAGAGGCACTTTGCTTGACTGAAGTTATTCATTATCCTTCTTCTCTAGACTTTTCACCTACAATACTAGAAAAATATTTAGATTACCTCAAATATGATAATCTAAATGCTGATAGTTACAAGTAATTGTACATGCTTCTACAGAAAATTGTATCATTTGTACCAGATTTGGTGTTTGTACCTGGTTTTGGCACCTAAGTAGTTTGAGCATTATTTCTGATTGTATAGAGTTTAATCTCTTGGGATACCAGTAGAGGTCACTTGTGTTTTAAGAGAGAAGGCCTTTAGTTTTGAAAAACTAAAATACTTATTTGCAGGATACTGAAGGGAAAAAAAATCACTATATTCTGATTAATTTTCAGAGCTTGTACCTCCAGCTCCCCTTGTTACTCGGTTTTTGAATACAAGAGCTATGAAAGAGACTTTTAAGAGCTACATGGAGTTGCTTGTTAGCATTGCCTTGGATCCAGACACAATGCAAGCCTTGGAAAAGAGCAATGGTACAGTATGTTTAACGTGTATGTTTTTATTAGATGTTAAGGTTAATAATCAGTAAGGTAAATGTATTTAAAAAAAAAACCAAAACCAAACAGAAAAAAAAAAACATCAAACTTTTAGCTACATACCCACATCTGAAGAACATTTTATGCAAATTACTTGTGTGTGTGCATGTATATATACATATTTATATTTGCACTATCTCCTTCAATAATCAAAGTAATTTAGAAATTCTGTTTTGTCTGCTTTGTTACATTAGGCTTGTGCTGTGAATGTCAGAACTGAGCTCTTTGTTCCTCCTGTTACTATCTTTTAAAATCTTGGCAAATGTTAATTTCAAATTACAGTTTTTCAAGTGTGTGTTTACTTATTTGTGAAGAAATACATTTATAAGTAGTTCTGATTCTTGCTACTTAAAGATTCAAAGCTACTGCTTTGAAACTCTAAAACCTTAAAATTCTGATCAAAGACAATTGCGTTCCACTTCTTTGAGGAGAAAATGTCTGGACAGTGGACTCCAGGATACAAAAGTCAAAACTGTTCTATTTTTCAAAATTTAGCAGAGACTCATCTATAGAGATAAAGGTCCCAAAGAGCAATCATTTCACATATTATTTAGTTGCAGGCTGTTGTTTTGTACTATATTCTGTTCGCCTGTATTTAAAAACCCTTGTTTTCTAGACTCTCCTTTTCAGGTTTGCTCTGGTTGTGCATTAGTGCACACTTACTTCAAGGTTTCATGTCCATGCATTATGTCAGTAGTCCCACTAAAAGCAAAGAAATTAACTTTGTAAATAAAAGACTCCATACCGAGCTGTAAATTTTCATTCCTGGCCACATGCCTATGTTCAAACATATATTGTGCAGTTTAGAGTGGTTTATCAGTAACTTTTATCAGTAAACACTTTCCCCAGTTTCTTTTGTTATAAATGCCAACAGGGTCATATCTTGTAATACGGAATAGCAAATGTCAAAACCACATATTTGTCTTCATAAAACTGCCAGTTTTGTTGCACAGAAAAGGATTATCTAGGAAATGGTTGGAAGTTGTCTCTAAGATTTACGATGTATGTTGCTCTATCTTAATTTTTTCCTTTCAACAAAGAAAAGTCAGAGAAGGAGCAGGATTGCAGTCAGCAATTAAACTGTGTAATATCTAGACCAGTTCAGCAGGCTGATTCAAAAAGATTTTTCTTTCATGTTTGACATCAGTTTATGTGCGAATTGCATTAATTTTTGCTTCCACTTTTTATGTTAATGGGTAGAAGTATAGATTGAATAGAAATCTCATTACTGTGTGTCTCTTAATAATCAACTGCAACATTTTTCTTAATGTGTCTTTAGATGAGCTACTTTTGCCTCACATGAGAAAAATTGATGGCATGCTGAATGATAATAGGAGAAGGCTGCTTTCCAAATTAGGCTTGGATCATACTTTCAAGGTATTCTCTTTTAAATTCTGGGATGTTTAAACTAAATGTTATAAGTAAGTCATTGAATGCATACCACACAGGCACAACTTAAAACGCAGAAGGCAAATTTGTAACAGAAGTGAATGTGGATTTGAAAGAGATGCTATAAATTCAATGCTTGTATGTGGCATTTGGAGAACATTTTGTGATGGAGGAGTTTATACTGCAAAGGTAAAGTTCTAGTTTTACTCCCCATGCTTTATGGTTCATTTTCAAGCATTTTTTCTTTTAAGCTTCTCAAGTTTGCCAGCAGAAAATGTTTGCTATCCTTCTAGAGCTTTTGGTTAAGTGATTTTATTGCCTAAAAATCTTGAACTTTTACATGAAATAGCTATGCTGTGGAGCAGATGTCTGAACTTCTTTGCAGTAGAGAACATGACCAGAGTAGTTTAAAACCAGGACAGAGGGACTTGAGAATAACAAGCCCACATTACAGCAACTTTGGCATGGTAATAGAAAACAGGTCTGGCGGTGTACAGGGAGGAGAGCAGCCATTTCATCTCAGTAGAGAGAAGGTAAATGGGAAGATAATCACTGTGTTTCCTACTGTTCCCACCCACCCTTCAAGCAAGAGCGCAGATTTTGAAAGTGCAGTAAAGTGAATTAAGGTTATTTTCACTCATGTCTGAGAACTAGTTGTTGATGTCTACAACCAGACTGGTTATTTCTTCATGTAACAGTTTTGAGACCAACAATAGTAGAGCACACCTGCCTATAAACACCATCAGACCAAACTTGCTCTTTCTCCTGTCCCCTTATGTCCACAGTACAGAGACACTTCTTGAAGAATCAGTTGTCTCTCTGTACTACTGTGTGCTTATTGCTGAGAGGTAGGTAAGGAGGGAGATAATAGCAGACATGGCAGTCCTGCTTTTTCATCATGAAATCTTTAAAAGATCTTTTTCCCCACAGCCCATTCCTGGTAAGTCTTATGAGACACTAAGTGACCTTGTTTCGGGGATGAGAACATCATCAACCAGTGAAAGAGCTTTAATTCATATGATTCTTGAATTTTTTTATTTTTAGTTACACCATTTTCCCAGCAGCTGTACAATCTGTACCTACTTGAACAGAATCTCTTGTGGCTTCCTCCTTGCAGTAGGAGAGCATAGGGAGGCCTGTGTACTTTCAAACTATACACAGGGCCTCAGAGAATTAGCATGTATTAACCCCCCATTTGTGTTTTTCTTTTGTGGCGAGAGCTTCGTGTTAATGGTTATTTCTATAGCTGCTTCTTTTAGACCTGTCTATGCAGAGAAGGTAGGCCACAATAAGGTAGGATACAAATTTGTGGAATTGCGGTTACATTCATAGCACACGCAAAGCAGGAAGTAGCTTATTTGGGTTTTTTTCCCCCAGTTTAAAGGAAGAAACCTAATCTAATCTTCTCTAATACTAATATGTAATTATACCTGCTTATTCAGTTGGAGTTCATACCTAATATAATAGCTTTGCTGGGTGTTCACTTAGTAGCAGATTATATATCATATCTAAAGTTAGCTTAAGCCTGTATTTCATAGTATGATCTGCAAGAAGGTTTATGGAGTTACGGATGTAAGGAATGGATTGGCTTGTGATGTAAACTGTGAGATAAAAAGCCTTTTATGTTTGCCTTCTGGTATGAAGGTACCAATAAGTGAAAAATACCATTATCGTTCATTAGTATCATTGTTTGAATATTTTTACTATTCTGCAATTATAAGTATGGATGGATTTAGCATGTTTTTTCACTGTATACAGTTAATATGGGATATTTTGGCACTGTATTACAAACGAAATCAGACACTGAAGTTGGCAGGCAGTGTTTGGTAGTTTACAGTTTTTCATGGCCTTTGGGATATAGGTTTTTATAAACAAAATTAGAAACTATTACCGTTGCTTTAGTTGAAGCTTGGTAAATGAAACAGCTGAATTGTGTAAATTTGATTTGGAAATAATCACCATTTTACGTCTTGCACTCTCAAAGATGTGGAAATCGCTAGTATTTTCTTCTTCATTGCAATTCAGATTTGTCTGTTTTAGGTCAGTGGTCCAGCCATGTAAACTGTTCTGGTTAATAGGAACTCTCCAGAGGAAGGCAGAAGTGCTGAAAGCCCTTTGACGCTCAAAGTCAACCTTCAGGAAGGCTATTACAGTGGATAGAAAAACTAAATAATTTAAACCTGTTGAAGTTGCTGTTCCAGTTTGAAAGCATTGCAATGAATATTGTATATGGACAGGTTAGCTAGTCCAGGTTACTGCTACCTCTGTGCAACTATCTCTGTGCGGTAGATTTTATAGTTTTTTACTGAGAGGGTTTTTTTGTCAAGCAAAAAATGGCTGATGTATATAAAGTGCTAAGAAATTATAGGCAGGAGAGGTTGTTGAATTCTAGTACTGCTTGTTAAAAGAAAATACCAAAATTTAGTCAACTTCCTATTTTAACCCAGTAGTCCAAATCAAGTCCTTAAGCTGCAGCATTGATACATTTTTCTGTATGCCTGATTTTTTTCCCTCATCAATACAAAGATATAGATGTTTATTTAACTCAAAATGGTTTTCTCAGTACCAGATTACATAGCATAAAAGAGCTATTTCAAAGCAGCTGCTAACATAATGCTGTATTTGTACAACAAAGTTGTATTCAAATTTACTCATGCAAATAACGTAGATCTGAAGTTAGTAGAAATGCAGTTCAGTCCCATGAGTTAATATGTCTTAAAAACTTGTGCTTTTTGATCTAGCCATGTACTTCACTGTGCATAAGCTTTTCTACCTTACAGATAGGATAAGATACAATTAATTTGTATTTTGCAAATTCTGGGACAAAACCTTTGAAGATACTTAGGCATCAGATCCCTGCTACAGTTGGCAGACTTCCCGTGCCTGACTAGGCATGAAGTACTTGGGCATCTCCTTGACCTTAGACATTCTTGGGTAGCAGTGGAATGGAAAGCCTTTTAAAAGGTAAAAATTGCCTAGTGGAGCCTTTTTTTGCTCTTTCTAATGAAAGAATCACAGGTGATGATCTGAGATACAATAAAAGGATCTTCTCATCTTGAAAAAATTATAGTAGTCAAGAACAGGTGGTCATGCTTTTCAAACTGTATATGGTTGCTTGATCTGATAAAGACCTTTTATCAGGTCTTTTGTGGAAGAATAAATCATTTTATAATAGGATGTACTCTAACTTTTCAAAGAAAAATGGCCGATTTGTCAGCAGTCTGACTGGCTAGCCATTCTTGAATTTTTCATAATCCTTTTTCTTCATATACTCTGTTTAAAGAATGCTTTGGAAAACTTTCCTGAACTGACAGTGATCACTCGAGATTCCAAGACAAAAAGTGGAGGAACGTCTGTGTCTAAGATCAAAATGAATGGCAAAGCTTACAACAAGAAAACACTGAGGGCTTCTAAGTCAACCACTAAATTAGCACAGGTGAGTGTTCAGGGGGTTCATTGCTGCCACCATCTGACTTCTAATATGACAACCACATTTTTATAAAGTACTGCTTCATGTATGATGTTTTTTGTTAGATTTATCAAAATATAAAAGCTTTGTTGAGTGAGGTGCTTTTTCTGTAGCAAGGGAATGTTAAAAAATAACATTTAAAGCAGTATATGAAATCATTGTTTTTACTCATCTGTGGAACACCGTTATATTCTAGTAGGGAGACAAAATATAATAAATAGGGGAATAATTATGAAATTATTTAAGATCTGTGTTTAGACCCAAATGCTCTAATCCAGTATATTTATACAGGAAGTCTTCTGTAGCAACTACTCAAGATTGCAGGAAGATGAAGTAGTAGTACGCAGCTTCCCTTACGCAGGCAGCAGTCGGTAGGTGTAGTTGGATGGGAAGGGAGAGGTGAGCTCTGGTGTTGCTGTGCTTCTCACTCATTGTAGCACGCCAAACAACAGAGCCCTGCTGGAGCACGCTCTGCTTCTGTCACCACCAGAGCAAAGACTGAACTTCAGGCCCCGTTTCTGCCTAGCAGTCAGCCTCCTGGAGTGTTGCTGAAGCAGCAACAGTTTGCCTTCTTGCCAACTTGCCAACAGTTGTGGTAAAATCACTGTGTAGCTTAAACTTGCTGCAAAATCTCTAAAGTAAATGATACAATGGCTTCTAGATCAGAAATGAAAAATTAGTGTTAATAATGTAAACACTCAGACTAGATAACTTCTTAAAAACTTAGTCCTTTATTGCTCCTTTTCTTATTTCCAATGATAGAATGAAGCTATGTATCTTATATTTAAAAAAAATGTTTTAAAAAGTAATGTGGTGAAGCTTGAGATGCACACATTGTTTATTTCCATAATATTCCTAGGGAATGCTGTAACTAGATTTTGCTAGGTACTGGCTTACATAAGCTTACCTCCCAGCAGTAAATAGTGGCTAGACAAATGACCTGTAAGTACAGCCCACGCTCAGATTTCTTGCCAAAGTAAGATAAGCGTTAGAGAACTATAGATCATCTCCTCTGAAGCACAAACTATATGATTTTTTGCAACAAATACCCATCAATCTGGTAGAAAAATAGTTAAGCTTTGGTAATTCTTGCAGTCATTCATGAGAAGGTGTTGTCTTGCTCATTTTAGACTTGCAGTGCATTCAGGAGGATTGAAAGCATTCTTAAACCTGGTAATTGTGATGTAATATAAATTACAGTGTACCAAAATATGTCAAAGCAGTTATTTGAATGAAATACTCAATTTCTGAATTGCTGAAAACAAATTTGTTCACAAAAGAAAATGTCTTATCATATATTGTATCTTGGAAAATAAATATTTACCTAAAATAACTGTTCTTTTTGCAGGAGTTTACAGTAGATCCAGAAAAAATACAGTTGTATTCTTTATATCACTCACTCCATCATTACAAATATCACATATATTTAACATGTAAAGAGGAGGTAAGTATTGTTCTCTTTGAGATACTTTTACATTTATTGAGGGAATTGAGTCCAACTAGAGGGACTGTTCTCTTCTTTGTAAATGAGTATAGATTCTGGCCTTCTATTTTAGTTAATTCTTTATGACAAAGGAAGGAGTATGCTGAGCACATGTGTTGCCCCTAATGGGCACTGCTGGCTAGAACATTCAGATATGAGGCTTACAAGGTTTGTATGAAATCAGTTTCCCTCAGGATAGGTAAGCATTCTTCACTGTTACCCAAAATAAGCAAAACAAATTTTATCAGTGTGTGTAGCTCCTCAGATCTAGAAGCTACTTTTAGTCTTGGAATGCCTACTCCTTTATTTTTCTGCAAATCCTTGGTGAAAATGTTCCAGGTAGCAGAAATATTAGAGTTGAGCTCAAGTTCAGTTTGTTAAGAAATGCCTTTTTGGGGCATTTCCTGCTGTTTTTAAAGCTTAAAGGTTTTCTTCCAACGAAGGTTCGTATTTAACTGCAGAATATAAAAACGAAAATTCTGAAATGCTGGCAGCCTAACATCTATATGTGTATGCATCTCTTTCTCTTCTCCCTCTTCTCTCTTTTTTAAATAGATTTCTTCTGTTCAGAAGAAGAGTGCAGATCTAGGACAGGAAGAGATTGTGCAGCTGTGCATGAAAAATATAAAATGGGTGGAGGATCTTTTTGAGAAGTTTGGTGAACTTTTGAATCGTGTCCAGCAGAAATGCTCATAACAAAAATGTATCCCAAATCTCACATTTTTCTACGGCACTAACCTGGTGGAACAGAAAGCTCAGAGAGAGGCTCTGATTTCTTTTACAATGCCAGACTGCGTTCCTGTTTGTAGCCATTTTTATTTCTCCTTATGGAACTTTGTGCCTTGGCTCTTGCTAAGGAAAAGTGATGCTGCCAAGGAAATCAGTCCTTTGGAGATGGATCTAAACATAAACCTAACAACATTTTTAACCTGAAGAATTATTTTCTATTTTGTAAACTACTGGATAACTTAGTTTTATTTTCAGAAATGTTTTTGACAAGTGATAAAGCATGCACTACATATACTTTTTTCTTTATTGCTAAAAAGATAACAACACTTAAAATACTACAGATTTTTCCATCCCTGACTAAGCAACAGAACAGTCAGCGTTGGGGTGAACTAATTTTTACATGTCTGGCCACCAAATTTAGAGCTTTGTACATTTTGTGAGCAGAGCCGGAGTGACATCAGTTTCTGCATACGTATATTGCCATCATAAAATCCAGAAATATCATTATGCTTTATGGACTCCTTTTACTATTGTCATGTTCAGGAGACTGAACATGGAGTTGGTGCAATCCTATGACTGCTTTTTGTGTCAAATTATATTGTAATGAAAGACAATGACCTTAACTATTTTCCCTGTTTTGAAGAAAAAAAAATATTTTCCTTTATACTGTGTTTTTTTTTCTTTTGGAAAAAAAATTCAATTGTACATTTTATCTCACTAATAGTTGTATTTTTCACAGAGGAAATATTGTGGTTAAAATTGTTTCATGTATCTTTGTAATACACTTCCCATTGTTTTCAGTAAATCCTATTCATTTATATGTTGAATTCATATTGTAAACTATATATCTCAAGGTAACCCTTTTGTTTATACAGGTTTGCTTCAGTGTTAACCAGAATAATGCATACTAGACTAGTTTTGCTTTAAGTGTAGTTGTGTTAGACACTGCAATTATTTTCTGATACGTGAAAATAAATTTCTTACTAAACTAGCACTTGATTAACTGAGAGTTTAAATGAAGAGCTACTACACTTTATCTTCGTCAACAAAGATTGATGATTGAATAGACTATATGCAGTGTTAAACACAGCTTACATTATTGTTTGTAGAACTGGCAGTTGCAGAGCTGTTCTCTTTTTGGTGCCTTTCAAGTCTTCAGACATCTTTGTAGCTTTTTTACCCCCTCCAGTTTGTTGACAGTAGTGCCACTAGTCACACTCAGACAATGAATGTAATGGGCTCTAATCAGGAGAACATTTTCTTTAAATTTGCCAACAGAATGCCTTACTGAGTCATTCAGAATGGATATGTACTCTACTGGCGTCCTAAAAAAGTAGTCATGTTGGGTCTTTTTTCAGATAATGTAGAAAAAAAAAAATCATTCCTTTATTCTTCCACTGCCACTTAGTGCCTTAATTTCAGCCAAGAAAGCAGGGTTCACTATTCACTGGCCAAATGAAATAATGTTTATTGCCATGTGACCTTTTTTTCCCCGTTACCTGTTTTGATCCTATTTAGTTGTTAAATATTCATTAGACCTTAGAACTATAAAGAGTTTAATGAATAGATGTGAAAATGAATTATTTGGTCTTGAGTAATCAAATAGAGGTTTAAATATTAAAGTATGTACAGAATTTTAGCTGACTAGTTCTAGAACCTTGTAGGATGTTTGCCATATTTCCAAAGCTTTTAATCTTTTAAAAGCAATAATTCTCCTTTACAATTTGTATGCAGACTATAGTGAACAGAAATGGGTATGTGCCCTTGCCTTTTTTAAAGCCTCTTCAGTAGTGGTTTTACTTTAAAAGGGAGGTCACTATCATGTTAACAGATGCATTGTGCTACTGCTACGTCTACTATAATCAAGGAGAGCAAGATGGGGTTTGGTTTAGGAAGAATGTGCAGGTTGCTGGAGCAATCATGAAGCTAATTCATTTTCACAGTGAAAAGAAGTGTAGAACATAGGATTGAAGAGTTGCTGGTGTTTCAGTCATACTGTGTTGAATCTGGTAGGAGTTAGAGTTTACATGGTGAAACCAAACAGCAAAGTTACCAACATTGGTAGCAATCAGCTAAAATGATTTTACTGTAAATATGCACACTGGAGATATAGTAGAAATGTGCCTGGTATGCTCTTTGATCGATAGTGGGTGTTCCCAAATTTACTTAGTCTATTCCCTTACTGGGTGGGGGTGGTTGGCAGTGTGTGTAGGTTCGTGAGAGGTTTTTACTTGCCCAGGCAGAGTTCTGTTATCATGTTACAGTGATAGGCACAGCACAGTCTGGGCATTCCTAATCTGTAGTTTTAAAAATGATTGGGATGCAGACTGAAGGAACAATAAAGTTGGCTCCTTGATGGTATAGTAAAGAACTGGTCAGACTTTGTGTCTCACATACCCCTTCCTAATAGGACTATGAAGCAATTAATGAGAGAGGTCTTTGTGCTTTCTAAATGATTTCTATACTGCTACTGTATACTTACTCTAGATTTTTGAATCTAGAATTAGCTTTAGGAAGCTACTTGTTTTAATCCAAGTCCTTAGAAGCTGAAAAAAGAAATGAGAGGCTTTTGGAGTAGCTTGTCCCTGTTTAAAAAATAAGGTAATTCTAGCAACAACCATTTAAAAAAAAAAAAACAAAAAAAACCCCAAAACTCCAGACAAAACAAAAAAATGGCCAGGATGCTCTGCACTGCCATAGAAGGTGACCTGGCTTATTTTTGGCTGGTGTATTCCCAAGGCCAGTTAAACAAGCACTGTGCCTGCAGAAGACAGGAAAACCCTGTTTTGAATAAAAGTAACTATCCCAGACTATTAGAGATTAATATAATAGAGCTTCCATCTTTGTCTTGGGCTGCAAAAATGGTGGCTGGATTATTCATTTACCAAATTAGAGTAAGTAAAAACATGGAACTCTCAAGTGTGTTGAAGGATCATAAATCAAAATAAAGCTTTGTTAGTGGGATTGAAGAGATTTTTTTATACTGAAGCAAACTTAGAAAAAAGTTGATGTACAAGTTACTTTTTTGCACAAATACTTTGTTTTGTTGCAGTTTAGATAATTAACTCTGCACCCACACCTCAATCTTTTTTTTTTTTTTTTTTCCCCCCCCCCCCCCCTTGAAGTAACATCCCTTGACATCTGACAGTGGAAATTGAGCACTCATTTGACTGCAAGAGAAAATGCACTAGGAAAGGAACAAAACCCTCCTCAGACTATGAATTAGCAAAACACAAATTAAACTAATTGTGTGATAAATTACTTGGTTTTTAATTCCACTATTTTTTCTTTTAGTATGGCATCCCTGTTTACATTAGGTTTGTTTTTATTGAAATACAGTATTTCTCTTAAAGGCAGGTTTTCTTTGAGATGCTACTTCCAAAGTTTTGCTAGCAAAAAATCAGAGACAAAATTGGATTGAAAAACTGTTTCTGAAAATGGCTAAGGACTTTAGGGTCTTTGAAGTTCTATGACATGTATTGTATTCATATATTGTCAAAATGAAATACTACTTTTTAAAAAGTCAGATCTTACAGGTTGTCTTCCAAGTAAATGATTTCCATAGGGAAATATATTTTAAATATTATTTAAGTATTTACTACTATTTAAAGCAATTTTAAAACAGAAAAGCTAAAACTATGGTCACAAAATGTCAGTGTGTCACCAATCATTTCTTATTTCGTTGCCAACACTTGACATTTGGTCTCTCTTACCCTATTACATCCCTGTGCACTACACAATGCACATTCTGCCATATCTTATTGTTTAAGCTAATATTAACATGTCATTGTTAACAAATGCATGTTTTGTGTATCTCCTCTACATATGGCAAAAAATGAAGCTAGGGCTAATTAAGAGACACTTTATGCGTTCTTAGTCCAGATTTTTCAGGTGGTCCGTAACACAATGTATGGAAATGTGAAAAAGGACAGTTTTGTACCATTCATGATGTTATTAACTAAACCCATTAAAGTGAAAACACTTTTTAAACAAAAACCTTATAACGCTTAGTCATTTATTGTTAAAATATGAAGTCTGGAAAAGTGAGATTATTGGAAAAAAATTGGCAATTTAGACTACATTTTCTGATCTCAATTATGAAGAAATGCAGTTCTAGGGTTTGGTGGGTTTTTTTCATTATATTGCATGGATTGAGCTTGCCTGATTTATTTGATGTTTTACATTTATGAGTTCTAAATGTTCTGAATTAATTTTCACAATTTATCTGCCAGGTGTTAAACTGATGTGATAAGTGAGTAGCCAGACAATTGGGGTAAGAGAGAGGCTACTGCTGCGATTCAGGTGGTTTTTAGCTATACTAGTTTCTTTTGTTCTCTTTCTTGGTAAACTAGAATGGAAGAAATGGTGCTGTAGAGGATTTTAGTCTTACACACACACAATTATGACAAATCGCTCTAAGATACTTTTTTACGAATATTTTTCCCACACATGGGGGCCTGAAGTCCCATGATGTGGATATAGGCCATAAGATACATGGTGGGCATTCTCTGAGCCACTGGCTTGCAGGAAAAGGTGAAGCTGAAAGTCTGGAATTTCTTTTTAATGGTCCTGGGTATAAGAGCTGCTTCTCAAACCAAGATGAATATAAAATGAGACATTTGGACATGGAGTTCATTGTTTTCTCCAAAAACACATGGGAAGTCCCGTTGCAGTGTGGAGCCTGAAGCTTTTGATGCTGCGTTCCACATACAGGTTATAATTTATTAAGGTGGATTTTTTTTTTTTAAAAAGGAAAAAAAAGCAAGAAGCTGAATGTATGCAGCTTTTTAAAGGAGTATAGCAGCTCCTGCTATCAGCAATTTATGGGTAAGTATCTTAGGCAACCAAAGTAACTTGTTCTGCATTAGGTATTTGCCTCTTCTGTAGAAAACCTAACAAATCTCTGTTTCATTTCCAGAAACTAAAGAACAGAAAACTGTCTTAAAATTATTTTAATTTGATCTCTTAAAACAACACAGCAATAAATGCAGAGAACAAGCTATTTATAAAGGAGAAAAATAAAAGGTGAGTCAGGGAAAGCAGCAGAGAGTACAGGCCTGCAAAAGTTTCTCTCATTTGTCCTGGGTATGTCTTTGATTTCTGCTTTTAAAAGTTCCACTGGGCTATTTCTTTTGTGCGTGTGTTTAGTTTTGGTTGGGTTTTGTTGGTTGTTTTTTTGGTGTGTGGTTTTTTTTTTTTAGCTTCCTGACACACACAGGGTAGAGGGAAGTAGCAATAACAGCAGTGCCCATGGGCAGGACTGAAGGAGCAGTTAAGGCCCTTTCTTTTAGGGAAAACAGACTCAGAATAAGGTGGGAGGGCTCATATGTATGTGATGGTTCACATGGGAGGAATCTGAGGGAGAAGAGGGGTGGATAGCTGGAAGAAACGTGGGCCAGAGGTGGGAGGACATCAGAAAGGAAGAATTTAGAGGGTGAGGCTAGGGGAGCTTTCGGCGTGGAGGTGGTTGAGGAGCAGAGGGTGTAAGAGTGGGAAGTGGTCCTAGTTAGGAAATAGCTTCCCTTGGGCATGCTGCACCATATGCATGGACTGCAAAGCAATGGCAAGCCAGCAGTATGATCTGGTGGCAGGTAGACATTCCTAGCTGTTACCATTTTGCCACACACAATGACTTTGTAAGATCAATTCAATCTAGTCCTAATTCTGCCTTTTGTTTTGCTATAAAAAAGGGGTTTCTTCAGTTTTGAAAAGCAGGGATGCCAGTCTATCTCTGCATAGAAGCAGTGGTTTTTCATTGCCTCCTCCCGTAGTCCATTTTTGAGTGTGTGTATTAAGGGACTGTGGTTCCTACTCAGTT